TCTTAAGTGTTTTCATATGAAATATCTTGCGCATAGAAAGAAGTTCCATGGCAGATTCCATGTATTATTGAAAAGAAATGCACATCTAGGTCCATTGAAATATCGTATGCCGTAGGTAAAATAATAAATAGGACCTCCTAGATGAAAAGTTCCACTTTCGTTTGTTCACTCCAAACTGAGAATATGTCGACCATAGCCGCCACAATGCACTGCATTGCTCATGTGGCCGGAAGAATGGCGATGAAACTCCATTACAGCTAACGTTCCAAGAAGTAACAATCAAGGCTCTGAAGGGTACAGTGTGACGGGTGGCTTACAATACATTCAAACGGATCGCAGGAAGATAAAAATGGAAAATGACTAGCGGTCCAATGACGAGAACGCTAACGTCCTATTCGGCATGCGTCAGCTGGAGGAAAATGCATCCGCGTGATCGAACATTTCCCAAAAAGACAAAAAATTAGGACACACGCTGCAAATGAAAGAGCATTATTCCATGCGCCAATGACAGAGGAAAACCGACACCACAGCGAATAGTAGACGAGCACGCAGTCGACTGATAGCCCAAACCTCGATAGCTAAAACATAGTTTTAACCCATAGCCAAACGGTTCAGTATAGAATGCTTAAACAAATGAGCTGAAGCTCTAATACTGGCTGAACTACTGGTTACACGACCAAGTCACATGTTCAATATAGCTTTCTATACATTAATACAAGTGTAAAACTTGGGCACTGTGGTCAGTTGTAATTCCATTTTTAGTCTGTTTATTAGAAATATCACAGTGAAACAGTAGCATTTGCCGGATAACGTTTCGGATACAATTTATTGCCCATATTCATATCAGGTAACTCCACAACTTCGAGACAGACTTTATATATTCCTAATTTTCTCTCCTTCTCCTTCTCTCCTTCTATATATCTGGGACAGGTGCAGAATCATTTCGATAGCATGTATTTGGTGTTGATTCGATAAACGAAGATTCAGTTATCAATCTCTTCCTCCACCCAACTAAGTTAGTTCTCAACACTGTCGCCCTATCCCACCCTACTGTGTAATTGCGTGCCATCACATGCAGAGCTATAGCCGAGCTTTTTTCAGATTTCCTATCTCATTAGGATCTACTGATCTTGATTTAGCTAAGTTTTTGCGCTCAGTTATTCCAATCGACCCTGGTCGGCTGCTTTGATCTGTGCACTTGACCTCGCAATCATTGCCAGATTTCTAATAAACAGACTAAAGTGGAATTTCTATACATCAGTTCAGCTAGACAGAGTGGTATCTGTCCTAAGGCACTTTGGTTTGTATGGGAAAGTGTGCTCAACTGTTGTATTAGAATTACAATGCCAGGTTTTAGAACAGAATCCAAGCTACGGCCATTTACTCTAGGCAATTCAATCCCAACTAATGTACTGGCGGCTCGAACCCTGTTACACCTAGCAAGTTTTGAACAATTTAACTTCTACCTAATATGTAGGGTTCGACGCCCAATGTATGAACATGCAAATGTCTGTGAAACTGTGCGCTCTAACTTATTGTTGCATTCTTAATCGGAATGCTAACATGACTTGTGACGGATGTAGAATGGCTCTAGGGAGAAGTTGTACTTTTTTAAAGAGAGGACCAAGGATAAATGACTAGTGATGACCACGAAATTGGTGAATATCTATGAAGCCAACTTGCAAGTTGTATGACACCAACATGCAAAAAACTGGCAAGCTTCGTGGTATGGAAACAGTTAGAATCAACACTGACTCATCTTTCATATTGGAAACAGTTCACTTTAACACCAATTGGTCTATCCCGTGTATAATCATTAAAAGCAACTGCATATAGGACGCCGTGTTGTTTAATACAATTTGTTACCTAAGAACCAAAGTACAAAAAATGTCCTTTTTGAAACTAAACACGCCAGAAAACCGGACAGCAACCAAAAGTAAGGGGACTAAGCCCGCTCCTATCAAGGATAGCGTGATAAGCTTCAACTTCAAGTCTTTTAGATTACTCGGGTGCATATCTTACGCTCCGCATAAAATAAAGACAACAGTTGACAATGCTTTAGATATCAACTCAGCACTTAACACCAAGGTTAAGGAGATTATGAGGAATAATAATCTGTGAGCTTGCTGCATATCAGCAGGGGGTAAGATGTATGTCACTGTTTTAGCTCGCATACTGTTTTCGCAAAAAGAAAATTGAACCCCAAATCAGAGGCCATCGCTCCCATCCCTCATGAATAATTACTCAGCAAGGACAACACATATATGTATATGTTGACAGACTTCTGCTTTTTATGCCAATTATTAGAGCCCAATTTCCATCAGAAACGACTAGAGAGAGCTTACAAGTGCCCAACCCAAACTACGAACTCCAACACCGAATGCGCGACTAACGGATTTTATTTGCCAGATAATTTACGTTGACAGCTCAAACCTTGTAGTTTAAGCCTCATTTCTCCCATATTATCCGTGCGATCCCCGTAATGGTTCTTTAATCCCGTATTAGTATTCAGAACATAGAGCACTTACAAACTTTTCAGGCTGTAATTCAGTATGCAGCCTTCACCCCCAATGACCAGTATTCTTGAAGGCTTCAAATTGTTTCGTTCCAGTTTTCATCAACTGTCTATCGGCTACAAAGATGAAGTCAAGCAAATTCTCAAAGATTTATACAACTAGTAATAATAATTCTGGAGGAGCACTTGTACAACGTGCGAACAAACAGAAAAACAACGGACATTTTAACTTCATATATAGGAAAACTTACACATTTAATTACATGCGTCTATTCCAAAGTCAATAACATGGAAAAAAGTGTAGAAGAAGAAACTGCTTAAAGCAAAATATGGCGGTCATTTTTATGCATCCCGCCCAAAAAGGAAGTAAGGGTAACTCTATTATGGAAGGAAAGCTTGCGGGAAGGTACTTAAATGATATCTCTGCATGTACCTTGGTCATGAATCTTATGATGTTAACAGACGAATGGAAAATCTTTGGGTTGATGCTTGTTCGGTCTGAATTGGACACAAATAAACGCCTGAAAATATTGGTAAAGGGAATTCACGAACAAAATGTTGTTGAGCGGCTCAACACGCCATAGAAAACAACTACAGTGATTTTGCACCGGAAAGTGATTTTGTTAGGGACCAGAGGAACTTCTGATAAGCTTGACATAAGGGTTTATTTCGATACGATGAGTAATATAAGTTTTACGCTGGTGTAGGCTAAAACCCAGTTTCGATAGACAACCAACAGAATCGTATACACCAAAGCAGTGCCTAGATCGCAGTACAGCAAATGTTGGTAAATGTGAAGTCTGAGAAACAAAAACACTATCTTTATCATATCTGGAAGATCTCGGTAGACATTGGGGGATCAGAAAATAGATCAGTGACGAAACGACATTTGATGGAAACATGACACAAGGTTGGATCCCATGGAACTAAAGTTCTACATGGGTTTGTATCGTACAAAAGATACTGGCTGGGGCCCCTGGTAAATTGAGGAACTCTAACAGCCTAAGTAGACGAGGGCGAGAGCAGTTTGCTGACACTCGTCAAATTTCCATCAGCAAACGGATACAAGGAAAAATGAAACAACTGTAAGGGTTATTTTTTGTTGTTTTCAGTCTTTTTTCGCATCACTCGTGAAATCTTCATGCAAATCGTACATATCAAACAACGCGCTATCATTTATATAACTTTTCCCGTCGTTAAATTTTGTTTTGATGCACTCAGCAAACAGTGAAAACTGAGTTTCGTCAATATAACTTCATTCTTCATTTTGCAGGTAGGCAGAGATGAAGTGTGTATCTTATTTCCTTCACTCCACATATTACTTCTTTACGAATGCAGCACATTATTTGCACTCTGAATATCACAATATCTATCATTCGGCAAACTTCGGGCACACACTTGCATACGCTGGCATCTCGCCTAAATCAATTCACGGTGGGTGACAAATAGTGAAGTCAATAATCATTGCCCAAAGAAGGCTGAACAGAGAAATGAACTACGCGAGTTCTAAATTTGTATATATCAAACATGTATATATTTAATAAATGTTGAGGTGGCTCAGACCAAACTTTCACGCAAAACGTTAGGACTACTTATTTCAAGCACTTCTGGATTGATACAGCCATTACACATTTAATTTCAACTTTTCACTCAGTGCATGATAGTTGTGGAATTATCAGTGGTTCTTATAAATAGCAAACACCATATCGCATAAGCTTTGGAGTTAATCAGGCTAACTTAGAGCGCCGTTAGGGGTCGTCTCAGCCATAGCAAGACCCTAATGGCTGCTTCGTAATATAGGTAACACTTTCAAAGTAAGAGCCACCGGTAAAGGAGCATTAGTTGAGATAAAAATAAGAGCCTGTGCTCCAAAAGAAACAACTGTCTCCCATGTCAAATCATTTTAAGCTCTGAAAATTTCCTAACATGGATTTAATCGGAAATAAAGGTGCACGCGATATGCGCGGTTACAAGAAATTATGACAGAAATGATGCAATGAATACGGTATCTTGGGAAGAATCCATTAACCTTTAGACTCAAGACACATAGTAAACTGCGCAGCTCTGCAAAACATGTAGTGCTTTTCCATTTGCCCTCATGGAACTCACGTTATAAATACCTTAAGGTTCATAGTGGAAGCATTACGTGGGTTCTTAGTTCACATTTTATCGAAGCTAGTGACAAGTGTGGAATCTGGCTATTTCCAGTTCATTCTTCTTACTCCAATCCCGCTTTCTTTAACCGAAAATTGGTTACAACCTTCAGGTGTAGTAATTTTGTCAGACACAAAGAATATCCAGTATTTCATATCCGAGAGAGGAAGAATTGTATTAATGACAAGGAGATGCGAAACAAAATATCGTCGGAAGTACCGTGCCGACTAACTTGCCTTCAAGCAAAATAAATTCTGAACACGTTATACGGCGAAAAAGCAGTTTAGCGTTTGCGATACACTTCAAGTCGGACCATTGTTTAAACAACTTCAAAAGTTGCGGGATGCCTAAAAATGACCGCCATATTTTGCTTTAAGCAGTTTCTTCTTCTACACTTTTTTCCATGTTATTGACTTTGGAATAGACGCATGTAATTAAATGTGTAAGTTTTCCTATATATGAAGTTAAAATGTCCGTTGTTTTTCTGTTTGTTCGCACGTTGTACAAGTGCTCCTCCAGAATTATTATTACTAGTTGTATAAATCTTTGAGAATTTGCTTGACTTCATCTTTGTAGCCGATAGACAGTTGATGAAAACTGGAACGAAACAATTTGAAGCCTTCAAGAATACTGGTCATTGGGGGTGAAGGCTGCATACTGAATTACAGCCTGAAAAGTTTGTAAGTGCTCTATGTTCTGAATACTAATACGGGATTAAAGAACCATTACGGGGATCGCACGGATAATATGGGAGAAATGAGGCTTAAACTACAAGGTTTGAGCTGTCAACGTAAATTATCTGGCAAATAAAATCCGTTAGTCGCGCATTCGGTGTTGGAGTTCGTAGTTTGGGTTGGGCACTTGTAAGCTCTCTCTAGTCGTTTCTGATGGAAATTGGGCTCTAATAATTGGCATAAAAAGCAGAAGTCTGTCAACATATACATATATGTGTTGTCCTTGCTGAGTAATTATTCATGAGGGATGGGAGCGATGGCCTCTGATTTGGGGTTCAATTTTCTTTTTGCGAAAACAGTATGCGAGCTAAAACAGTGACATACATCTTACCCCCTGCTGATATGCAGCAAGCTCACAGATTATTATTCCTCATAATCTCCTTAACCTTGGTGTTAAGTGCTGAGTTGATATCTAAAGCATTGTCAACTGTTGTCTTTATTTTATGCGGAGCGTAAGATATGCACCCGAGTAATCTAAAAGACTTGAAGTTGAAGCTTATCACGCTATCCTTGATAGGAGCGGGCTTAGTCCCCTTACTTTTGGTTGCTGTCCGGTTTTCTGGCGTGTTTAGTTTCAAAAAGGACATTTTTTGTACTTTGGTTCTTAGGTAACAAATTGTATTAAACAACACGGCGTCCTATATGCAGTTGCTTTTAATGATTATACACGGGATAGACCAATTGGTGTTAAAGTGAACTGTTTCCAATATGAAAGATGAGTCAGTGTTGATTCTAACTGTTTCCATACCACGAAGCTTGCCAGTTTTTTGCATGTTGGTGTCATACAACTTGCAAGTTGGCTTCATAGATATTCACCAATTTCGTGGTCATCACTAGTCATTTATCCTTGGTCCTCTCTTTAAAAAAGTACAACTTCTCCCTAGAGCCATTCTACATCCGTCACAAGTCATGTTAGCATTCCGATTAAGAATGCAACAATAAGTTAGAGCGCACAGTTTCACAGACATTTGCATGTTCATACATTGGGCGTCGAACCCTACATATTAGGTAGAAGTTAAATTGTTCAAAACTTGCTAGGTGTAACAGGGTTCGAGCCGCCAGTACATTAGTTGGGATTGAATTGCCTAGAGTAAATGGCCGTAGCTTGGATTCTGTTCTAAAACCTGGCATTGTAATTCTAATACAACAGTTGAGCACACTTTCCCATACAAACCAAAGTGCCTTAGGACAGATACCACTCTGTCTAGCTGAACTGATGTATAGAAATTCCACTTTAGTCTGTTTATTAGAAATCTGGCAATGATTGCGAGGTCAAGTGCACAGATCAAAGCAGCCGACCAGGGTCGATTGGAATAACTGAGCGCAAAAACTTAGCTAAATCAAGATCAGTAGATCCTAATGAGATAGGAAATCTGAAAAAAGCTCGGCTATAGCTCTGCATGTGATGGCACGCAATTACACAGTAGGGTGGGATAGGGCGACAGTGTTGAGAACTAACTTAGTTGGGTGGAGGAAGAGATTGATAACTGAATCTTCGTTTATCGAATCAACACCAAATACATGCTATCGAAATGATTCTGCACCTGTCCCAGATATATAGAAGGAGAGAAGGAGAAGGAGAGAAAATTAGGAATATATAAAGTCTGTCTCGAAGTTGTGGAGTTACCTGATATGAATATGGGCAATAAATTGTATCCGAAACGTTATCCGGCAAATGCTACTGTTTCACTGTGATATTTCTAATAAACAGACTAAAAATGGAATTACAACTGACCACAGTGCCCAAGTTTTACACTTGTATTAATGTATAGAAAGCTATATTGGACATGTGACTTGGTCGTGTAACCAGTAGTTCAGCCAGTATTAGAGCTTCAGCTCATTTGTTTAAGCATTCTATACTGAACCGTTTGGCTATGGGTTAAAACTATGTTTTAGCTATCGAGGTTTGGGCTATCAGCTGGTTTCGTAGTTGTTGTTTAACTTGTGATCCTTGTGTGATATACGGCCCTGTGCTTGCTTACCTGTGTGTATAGTTTAACATACAAAGCAGCGTAGTTAGCAGTAGTCAGCGGAAAGCTAATTAGTAAACCTCGTGAATGTCTTAAAAACTTTGCCGGAAAAGAGTGAAGTGAAACAATTACAAGTAGTGAGGATTGTGGTAATTTAAGTGAAGCACCAAGCCAAAATACTGGAGGAAAACGTTAGGACGTAATCGTGTCTGTCATAGATTATTCCCTAGGTTTTGCCTCTATTTTGTATAGCCTGTAAAGTAACCGTTGACAGTCGGTTTAAATCCTGATTTCGAAGTGCATTTTCGATCAAAAATCTTGGGTGTTATATATGTTCAAAGCGACAAACTTTGCAGTTTAGTTTCCACCAATAATCAACAAATAAGCGCCGTATTAATCCGTTGAGTTGGTGGAGTAAGTGCAGCTGTACTGACTATTTTTTCGAGTGTTCACGTGAATGAATTATTGCTTATCTACTCAAGTTTGAAAAGGATTTCTTGCTCCCCTTCAGATTCACATCCTAAGACCTATTTTCTGTTAACAATCATATATTCCAGATTAAAGGTTGTGATTAATCCTGCTTCTCAATCGACTGAACTTAAGGCTACCTTGAAAACCACTGTGACACTATTTCAGAACTACTTATTCCTCAAATACGCTCAATAAATGAGCTTGGAGGGCTCTTCCAAGTGATTTTTGTGTCCACTCAGATACTTGTTTAAAATTCACTTATGCGCTTCGAAAAGAATGATAGTTGTATGACTGTCTTCTTCGATAGTGTCTGGCTGTGATATATTGTGTCACCTAGCACTAGTTAGTAGTCACCAAGTCGGGATCGCGTCTCAAGTTGAAGCTCGCTCGGAATAGCTAGTTATCGATTGTGTTCCCAAAAGATATTGATGCTGACATGTGAAAACGGACACCTGAAACTACTACTTAGGTATTTGTTTGCTTTAGCCTATTGATCTGACACTAAGACCACTTGTGACAACTGATGTATTATGGCCTCGAAAATTGATTTCTTCCCAAGGTTTGTCTAACTGTACCATTGTTAGTTTGCCATACCTCACGTGATGACATCAAAATACAAGACAGGAAGTTAGTAATTTCGTGCCTAAGAAGTCGGATGTACTTCGGGTTTTATTCACCAGCACATCTGTAACAAAGTCAAATAGTAATGGTGACAGTAAACATCATCGATGGATGCTGCCAGTTGTCCTTGATTTAGATGACACGACTGAACGAGTTCAAGTAAAGAGCGTTGGTTGGTATGCTGTAGTTGGTAGGAACTCCCTTCACAGGGAGACACTACCGTAACACCTCTCCATTGATGGGGTTCAATGACACCTTCTGGTCAAGAAATATAGCAGGTGTTCGGTGCCAGTCTGTATGTCTGTGTTCCAGAATTAATTGAGGTTGAACATCTGGTTGACATACGCTAGTGTTTGGTGTTTCCAAGCTTCACATGGGCATCTGACAATTATGCAACTTAAGATTTGGAAGTAAGAGGTGTGAAGAGTTTACAGGTTTTAACAACAAGTGTCTTCGTAGCGTTGCTGGTGCGTTGTAGGATCACCATGTGAGCAATGTCGAATTTAGGCATGGGGTGCTAAACAATGAAAACAAATAAGCTTGAACATAAGGTTTGTTTCTTCCAATCAATATTGTCAAGATACAGCATCGTGAGTGACGTCCTTACGAACTGACTAGATGAGCAACCAATGTAGGGGGCAGCTTATGTTCACTTTGTTATGCTAAAGTTGCTACTCAGGGTGACCAAACCAAAACCTGGTACCGGTTCATGAAGTCTCCGATTTTCAATCTGAACCGTGTGGGAATGTGTAGGCCGTCTGATTGGAGTCCTTGAGATAATGGAAGTGAATAGTTGAAGATCCTTGGTAAAATGATTGAAAGTCGGTCACATCGCTCAGATATATTCACTCTGAGGTTTTCTAAATTTTGGACATTTTAGCTAACCTTTCCTTTCAAGTTCTCTCCTCCTAGAAACCTGTGTTTACACCACTCTTTCTACTCACGTGTTCTTTGCCTGCTTTCTGTGAACTATTGCAACTTGAACGGGTGCAATTCTGTGCCACGTTGCCCTCTGATCTGCCCGTTAGTTTGTCTGCCCATTGGTTTTTTATGTTACGTCTGTCTCCTCTTATGGTGGATGAATCTACTGGCCTGGGTAGTCAACACGTTAGTTATTAGAGTAGATGAAGTGTAATTCCACATGCACATGTACGTCATACTACGTAAAATGAAGTAAAATAGGTTTCAAATGCACTACTTCGGTTGAAGTGAACGTTATAACTCACATGTTAACAGCTCAAAACCCTTCGTGTGACTTTAATCACCAATGGGATTCATGACTGTCGTTTTAATACACTGATGTTAGGCTCACTAGAGTGACACGGTTTTCCTATCGCATTGTTCCAAGTAACAAAACTAGAGTATATTGAAATAGTTACATGTTTCTGTTGTTGGAGTAACCTTTCTGGGTTACCTCGCGTTCCAAAATTTGACTACTTGAGACTGAAGGTGCCAGTCTTCACACAAATGCGTAGTACCCGCTTTGCAGCAGGAGTTCACATACGAAAACATGATAAGACTATAACAACTATCCAGATGTCTTAAAGTAATTTAGCTGTTACTCCCATAATATCTTTTTTCTCGAGTAAAAGGTATGTGGGAATTTAGTTTTCAAGACCCCTTGTCGTTGAAATGTTCTCATATTCAAATAGCTTGTTACCAGACTGTTTCGAATTACTCAAGTAGTTATAACTTCTGTTAGTTACTAGATATTATTATTATTAGTCCCTTGGGTTCCTAATGGAACATAGGGCTTTGGTAGCACGTCTCCAGTGAACTCTGTTCTCCGAAATCTTTTGAACCTGGCTCCACGACACCCCAGAAGCTCTCATTCCCTCCTCTCACGATGTCCTCCATGTCACCCTCGGACGCCAAACTCGTCGCTTCCCATGGGGGTTCCACTCGAGGGCCTGACGCGTGATGTCCCCAGTCGGCCTTCTCAGTGTATGCCCAATCCATCTCCACTTCCTTCCAGTACATATTTGTTGAGCGATAGGTTCTTGGTTGGTTCGTTCCCAGAGCTCCTTGTTGCTTATTCTTTCTGGCAATCCATCTGATCTTCAGTAGCGAGCCAGCGTAAGCAGTTGTTGATGAATGTCTGTAGTTTATTGGAAATCCCTTTCGTAACGCGCCAAGTCTCTTAACCATGGAGAAGCACTGACTTGACCTTGGTGTTGAAAATTACTAGATATAGTTGTCGATAATTTAGTTGCGGATTGCTCAGACTGAAAGATTTAAGACTATACTTTTCAGATGATTAATGCTCTAAAAGCATCACTGTTAGGATTTCAGGTGGTAAAGATGAATCTAATGGTTAGGTGATTAACATGCAGTAGCTGAGGTTCGTTAAACATGTGTTGCATATGATAGTAACTAGAATAAAGACAAACACAAGAAAAATGTTGAATGACCATGTAAAAACAGCATCAGTTAACGAAATTTATCGCAGCCAATTCAAGTTGCGTAGCGGGTTGTAGACTTCTGAGTTGGAAATACGTGAAGTCACGGAATGGGAAACTGGTTAAAAATTGGTTAAAGTGACACAAACACCCCGCCTTTATCTTGATACAGTAAAAGAGAATCCTAATACCCTCCACTTTTTAACTTGTTTAGACGTATGTTACTACCCTACTTTCTACTGTATTTTCTGAGTTTTGTTGTGATGTTTGGTGAATATGTCATAGCCTAAAAATACATCGCTGTGCCGGGCTTTTTTCCTGCCTATCTGCGTTTGATTTGTTAGAGCGCCTGTTGGAAGTTGCTACTCGTATTGAGAACCATAACTAGACATAGATCAATAACTGGTCGAAACTTATGTCTTGTTCATGGGAGGTACTGCAAAAAAATACCAACTGGAAGGGTGGATGTTTATGGGAGAATTAGCTCGATAGCTGAAGTTCAATAATAATGTTTGTGATTAAGCAATACAATGGTACATCGTTGAAAGGCAAATCAAAGTGCACATTCGTGCTCACATATTGTATGAGGGCCGCCCAAACCTCATTGGGTGGAACAGGGTTCATACCCGTGGCCCAGTGATTGAAAGTCATCTCCCTGGACCAGTGAGCCACAGGCATATCGTATGCTGTGAAACGTATGCTAGTGGACCAGTGGTTCGAAAAAATCTAAGTAGCTTTGTTTAAACACTTTCAATGGACACACTGTAAACAATAGCAGGTAAAAGTCTGATACGTTCCTTGAATCACATGAGATCCTGTCAAATCAGATGCAAAGGTTGTCTAAGTTAGTTGATAAAGACAGAAAACTTACAGTGATCACACTCACAAACGTAACTCCAAAACATTGGATGGGTTTATATTCCAAGATATATTTGTTCTGGTGAAACGGCCTATAAACGCTGTTCAGTCGCCTGGGTCAAGCTAGGTAGTGCTAAAGACTTATTAACTGACTTATGAGTGCGGTGACACCCAAATGCCTACTTAGAACAAAGTGTAATGTTTAACCACACCATTTGTCCTTGAATGTGGCTGTGAGATACAGTCATTGAAGGGGAAGGATTTGCAAAAGCCTCAACTACTCAAGTAGAGCTACTTCATTAGCATCATTTGTATGTGACGACAACACTATGGGAGCAGTGCAAGGGATGTGGAGGTTGCGGATAGAGTATTGGGTAGGAGATACAAGTTGATGAGCATGTGAACTTTTAACGAACGAGATGGTTGGGACGTGTAAAGCATAGGGATCTACGATCTACTCCTACTCACAATCTTAGCTGAAGTAGCATTCGGTTGGGACGCTGCTAAAGGTGGCTACATCGAAGTAGTGTTAATGCATGAAGTTTCGTACAGATGAGGTATTGTCCTCGAGGAAAGTGTAGACTTCCTGGTTGTAGTTAGTGAAAAAACCTTTTTCGATGGTTGGCTACTATGGGTAATATGACTGAAAACTAATTATAGTCATGAAAACGTCATGTCTTCTAAATCTTGAAGTTGTATACTTATTTATCTCTTAGGCTTTTCAATTTTCACTTTCTATTCATGGCTACGGATGTTATTTTCACCTATATGTCTTCCATGTTACTAATCCCTATTTCGAGTACAATCATATAAAGAGTGATAGAGTCAGCGCACAATTATGCTGGACCTTATATTGTTTATACTTGTTCGTCTATGTTGGAAGTCAAATAGATGAAGTCATTGTTTGTTCAAACTTTTGTGTAAGTAGTTAGCCACATGTCTCACAGTTAAATTGCAGTAACGCTGGTCTTGTAGCATCATATAATTCTTCAGATTATTTAAGTGCTGCATGACCACCTTGTTGTTACTGTTTTTAAAAGAGTCAAATTTTGCAGTCAGCCAGCGTTGGACTTTTTACAGAAGTCTCGCCATCCTCATATATTGATAGCCCGCAACTGCAACCGGTTTTCTGTTTACGGTTTTGGTCGGCATCATGACTGTCCATAAGCAGTAGCGTACGAAACATATATTTTGTTTCAAGATATACTTGATATTGTACTAGGCGTACTTACTGTTTTTTGTCTATCAGTTTTTGTGCATACTAGTTTAACTCAAATTTATTTACCTCTAACCTCGTCTCATACTTTAGTTTTAAGTATTGTTTCGACCTGTGTCCATAGTGGAGAACTGGTTTCTGAGATTGGTTTTGATTTCTTACCAGTGTTCTGTGTTTGGATATGCTTAAATTTGTTTTGGGAATCTTAGTTGGGCAGTGTATAACTGGAATTGCGCACAGGTGGGTAATTTCACAACACCTACTTTATATGGTATGCTTTTTACTTGCATTCTTGTTCGCTTGCTTTAGATTACAGAAATACAAAATTGCGGCAACGTTTTCGTACTGGCGTATATTTAACATTTTTTGCAGCAGTTCATTCCCGTAATGATTCACTCTCGTTAGTGTTTTCTTAGAGGATTGCTCAATATGCCGCTGAAATCTTTTTTTACTCGTTAACGAGTACAATTCAGTTGATTTTTCTTACAAAGAAGAATGAATCCATCCTTCCTATCATATGCTTCGCAAGCGGGATTTCTTCGTTCGATTTTTATAAACATTTAATTTCATAGTTTTATGGGCGGATTTGTGGGCAGTTTTTGAATACATTTTGTACTAGCTTTTTTCTGACGTTTTTTCATTGTTACTATATGTTCTTACAGCTGGTGTAAACATGCATGGTTCGACCGCGCCTGATCGAACACAAGGTTTGTCTATGGAAACTAAGATGGTACTCATGCAACAGCAGTTGGCACTACTGTTGCATGCTGATCACTGTGAACGACTTGAAAGGAGGGGGATTGCGACAAACTGCATAGATCGAAACTGTGGGGAAATTCGAAATTTACTGCCTCATCTACAGAGTTGTACTCGAGAAAAAGAGTGCAGTGTTCCACACTGTATTTCATCGAAGTACATACTGCGACACTACCGTTCTTGTAGAGACGCAGAATGCAGAGTTTGTTCAGCAATTAGGAAGCCTACTGGAAACGCTATCGCATCGTCAATATCGTTACCTAATAATTGTTCTCAAAATGGACTCAGTTCAAATCATAAATCTGATTTGTCAGCGCTGAATGGTATTAAAGTGACTGACTCTCCACTACCATCTCAGAAGAATTCATTTTCAGCTAGTTCTTGTGAATCACAGTCAGCAACTATGGTAAATGGTGACGTTAGTCGGGTACCCTTAAATGAAAGTCGCATAACTGATCAGCAAAGAGAATTAGCCATGAAAAAATTGTAAGTGTCTATTTCTCTAAAAATCATTTTTCTAGTGTAAATGATATATCTTTATCAATTTTTCCAACGGCAAATCCTACAGCATATAGTGATCCTAGGATGAAACAGTTTTTAGACTATGTGAAACGAATGGAAAAAGATGTTTACATGAAATCTAAATCGACGGAAGAATATTTCAAGACAATGGCACTCCACTATCACAACATTCATTCTGAATTGAAAGAAAAGCGTCGTTTACGAGAAGCTTGTCCATCACTACAGAATGGGGAGGTGTCTGACGTTGCACAACCGTCAGATCTAACGGATTCTATGACGTCAGAAAATGGTCCATCAAAAGTGAATTCTTATGATCAGGATCAGTTTTCAGACGCTTTGGAAATTGTATCCAAGCGTGAAGAACAAATTCAGCGAGGAACGAAGACGGAAGTTGCTACCGAAAACTTATCGAATTCTTCTGGTTCGGCAGATGTTTTAGAAGAGAAAGATAGCAAGCAAGATTCAAACTCCCCAGAAGCCAAATGTCATTCTATTACTTCTATAGAAACCAGTGAAGGCGATACCAGAACAAAGGTTGACGTAAAAACAGAACCAGATTCAGAAACACCTGATACCAGTAATTCTGATGAAAAGAAGGTCGAAACTCAAAGTTCTCGAGAACCTATCAGACGAAGAATTTGGTATTCCAATGAGTTGTTGCAATACTTCCTACCAGTTGTGATAAAAATAAGTAAAGAAAAGGATGCTGAACCATTCTTGACCCCCGTGGATTGGAAGTTCCTTGAAATCTATGATTATCCACAAATAGTTTCAGACCCTATGGATTTATCAACTATACGAAGAAAATTGGAAGATCGAGAATATAAGGATCCTTGGGAGATAGTTGATGACTTTTGGCTGATGCTTAACAATGCATGGCTGTATAACAAAAAGACTTCTAAGGTGTATAAGACGTGTACAAGGGTAATTTTATATTTTTACTCATACATTTCTCTAGTTGGCGGAGACTTTCGAAAGCATAATCGATCCTGTGATGCAGTCATTAGGATTTTGCTGTGGCCGAGAGTACTATTACCAACCACCTACATTAACGTGTTTAACTCCGAAGTTTTGTACAATATACCGTGATGCTGTTTATTATGTTTATAAAAGCGAGTAAGTTCTTAGTTTTTTCTTAGTTTCGCGATAGTGGTCAAACTCCTGGTCTTTTGGAACAGAAATATACGGTTTGTGAAAGATGCTATAACGAAGCTATGGATCAAATAGCACTGGACAGTGACTCCAGTAGCCCAGTGTAAGTTGCATTTCCTCTCAATTTTAAATACGCATTTTAGGAATGTTCAAAAAAGTTTGATGGAGAAGTGCAAAAATGATGTCAAAGAGAAGGAACCATTCGTTTTCTGCAAGCATTGTGGCAGGAAATGGCACAAAGTTTGCGCTATTTATCATGAGGATATTTGGCCTGATGGCTTTATTTGTAATCACTGCGTTGTGAACTATGGATTAAAACGTACAGAAAACCGATTCACGGCCAAAAAGCTCACAACTTGCAAACTAAGCAACTTCTTAGAAAAACGCGTAAATGATTTTTTGAAGAAAAAGGAAGCCGATGCAGGTGATGTCATTATTCGTGTTCTTGCTGCAGCAGACAAAACTGTTGAGGTGAAATCTGGTATGAAGTCTCGGTTCTGTGACAATGGAGAAATGCCTGAGTCTTTCCCATACAGAGTAAAAGCTATTTTCGCATTTCAAGAAATCGGTGGTCAAGAGGTTTGTTTCTTCGGCCTCCATGTACAGGAATATGGCTCTGATTGTCCACTTCCTAACACCAGACGAGTTTACGTGGCTTACCTAGACTCTGTCTATTTTTTTCGACCTAAACAATATCGTACAGAAATATATCATGAACTTTTGGTTGGTTATATTCACTATGCAAAGTTACTTGGCTTCACAATGGCTCATATATGGGCTTGTCCACCTAGCGAGGGTGATGATTATATTTTTCATATGCATCCACCTGATCAAAAAATCCCAAAACCTAAAAGGTTGCAAGAATGGTACCAAAAAATGCTCAAGAAAGCACTTTTTGAACGCATCGTAGTTGATTACAAAGACATCTGTCAGGATGCCAATGAGTCTCACTTGATATCGCCAGCTGAGTTGGCCTATTTCGAAGGAGATTTTTGGCCAAATACATTGGAAGAAATATTTAAGGTAATGAAACAAATAATTTTTTCAGTGGTAGCTAGTTTCTTTACACATATAGCTTTTATCGTAATCTTATGTGTTTGTAACGTATGTCTGTAATTCGACTACATTTTTTAACTTCTGTGTCAGATCAGATACTCACAACTGGTTTAGATGGTGAATGTGTAATAACACTGTATACTGGGTTATTTAAAACTATAAGAGTAAAACTTGGGCACTATGATACAGTCAATTTCGTTTTGTTCATTAGGTGTCACAGGGAAACAGTACTATTTAGTCGATACATTTTGCCCATAGTCATATCAAATCTATCATAATGTATCATGGTACTACCGCACTGCTCGACTGAATCCTAATCAACAGCCATGTGTGCACTGTTTGACTGAACGGTGCAATGAGGACTAAAAAGAAGAGTGAAACTGGTTCTTGCCTTCCTGTAGTCTGCTTACGCACCCATTGACTGCATTTCGGATAAAGTAAAAGACCAGTGGTACCAAAAAGTGTCCTGCTCCCTACTGAAAGCCAAACGATTGGATCTTGTAGTGGTTAGTTTCAATGCACGATCGAGAAACCTGAACCAAATGGTATTTTTGGAGTCCTGTGTGAACGAACGGATAATGGCAATCGTCTGCTTAAACTGTTCATAGACAACTGCCTATTTCTGTTCAACACTAACTTCAAATATGAATACTGATATTGTATAACGTTACGTTCTCCAACCTTAAGTCAACATTGGACACATAGACCATTTTCCTTACCAGCTATCTTTGGAGAGGGTCGGTGGAAAATTGCCTCCTTATTTGGATAAAATGTTCGAGCAGTCAAACCGACATCAACGTAGGTCCTTGCATTGTGTAACTGTTCAAGTTGCCACATCCCATATCGCTCATGAAGGGAGAATGGACTAAGATGAAAGACAAAGAAATAAGGGTGAATCAATCAAAAGTAGTAGAAAGGAGTGGAATAGAACAATGAGGAGAGAATACTGAAATTTAAGTAAGATTAAGACAGTGTATGGATACATCTGCACCATTGACATCGATTCTGATCCTTGTCACCTATAGTCCTTAACCACTTGTTTCTGTGGTCATACGCTAACCGGGAAGCATACATTACCCTACACTGCTCAGACCAATAGTCAGAGACTTCACTCACGGATACTATGCTTTAGTCTACTTACCTCTAATCTTTTTCCAGCCTTAACGTACTTCAGCTAGCAGTATGCGACGGGGCGTGCGGTTACTAGGCATGTGTTACACATGCCTCAGTTACCTTAGTCAATGAAAGTTTGAATAGTAATCACACATCAGTTCAAGCAGACCTATGTTTGTGCCTAAATAGACGTAAGGAAACTAAATCTTCAAGCCGGTTCCGAGCAAAGGCCGTTAGTGAGAATACCAAGACTACATCCGAAGAGAATCTGGTTAGATGGCTGTCGGAACATGACAGCGTCACCTTTTGTGAATAAGCCTGGTGTCAACTGTGGTGTATCGTAAAAGTAGCGTTAAAAGCTGTAACTGACCCTGACAAAAAGGTTAGAAATTGTCGGTGGGCCTCAGGAGCTTCATTTGAATGATTGGATACACGTGTACACATTCTTGGATGCTTTGAGGACAATGTGTGAAGGAAGCAACTGAAATATAAGCTGACAAAGAGTCTACACAGTGACTGAGCTGTTATGGGTAGCGATCACCAAAGAAATGGAAAAGGCAGCTGGGATAGTCACCTGCTTACAGTTATTTAGCGAGAGTAAAGGCAAAATGGTCGATAAGTAGTGAGATCATGACAGAGAGGGATGGGGTATTAGTTCACTTGCTCGAGAAACGACTGGAGCGATATATGGATGACGGTTCAACTTGCTTCCAGCCGGTCTTCGGTTATCCGCTATCCGGTCGGATCCCGAATGATACACTGAGATTGGCCTTTAGACTCTTACAGAAGTTGAGAAAGTTGTAAATAACTTGAAACGAAAAAGGGTAGCAGGAGTAGATGGGTTAGTATCCGAGATATTTCAGGATGTTGGCCGAAGATCATTAGTCAAACTGACTGAAGTTTTAACTGACGTATGGGCTTTAGATATTAACCCCTCTGACTGATCTCAGTTGCCGACTGTCCCAGTCTTCTAGGGGGGAGTACGACTGTAACAGTTGCAGAGGAATCAGTCTAAGATCCTAGGTTCTGTAATCGCGAGATACCTGAGTGACGCCAGGTAAAAGCAGACCCGAGAAAAATAGACAGGTTGTATACCTGCCTGTGTGTGTATCGAGTGGATACTTACCATCGACCCGGTCTTGAAACACAGACATACTTACGGACGCCTGACACTAGATGTACTTTTTGGCCTGAAAGCGATACTCGACTCCGTCGTGCGAGATGTTTTATGGCAGTGTTCCTAACTGAAAGTTGTCAGGTAAGTTTATCAATTTCTTAAAAGCTCTTCATTCGAACATCTGTGAGTGTGTTAAAGCCTATGACGAGCTATCAGGTGTGAGTTGTGTACGACGAATGGTACTCACCCAGGGTGTCCACTCTCTTCGTTTTGACTTAATTTTGTCATAGGTATGTTTTATATGGGTCTCTATTTCCTCATTTGACTTCAAAAGGATTGACGTCACAGGGGACTCTTTAGTAAACCTAGAATACACACATAATATAGTCCTTTTAGGTAAAGATGCTGACAAGATACAGTCCACTGAACTTCGGTATTGGCGGGTATTGGTGGGTAACATATGTATAATAGACGATTCGTAATTCGAACCACACCTTTTTAATATCTTCGTCAATACCTAATGTCCTATTAATAACATCTGACCTTTTAGTTTGGACATTATTTCGCTACATTGTTTGCTCTATTAAAATCTGACTGTTAAAACACTGGTATTCATGTCGTGTTTCTCCTCTTTTTTAATGGATGAAATCGTTTTGATGGACCTGATCAATTAAACAGCATACAGTTTTGCCACAAAACTGTTGTTGACTGTGTGTTCTGAAACAGCAAGGGCATTTAGTGTTTTCAAGTAATATTCGTTTTTTAAAAAATTATATCGAACTTCTAAACGTTTGAAGTGATTGTTACAAATATTTATGTTATGAGATTTTAGCCATATACGCTTGGTTTTGATGACTAAGTATATTTTAAATTTTGGTATTTAATTTTGTTATTGATGTACTTATGGACATAACCTTAGGTACGTCTGACTTCACAGAGATTGATCTACTCCCTGGAGGGCATCTAGTTAGCTTGGATTACGCAGACGATATTGTCCTGTTAGGGGAAGATGCTGGGTCTTCTGAACGCGTTGAGCCGAAGTCGGAGGATATTTAGCACCTGTCAAATGCAAGATGATGCTCTAGGACTGTTCTGCAACTACCCTCAGTTTGATGATAGGGAGTAAAATGGTCGAATGTGTTGACCACCTCACTTACATGGAGAGCTGTGTCAGCCCAAATGTGCTGGTTGCAGACGAAATCTCAGCTGGAATACAAAAGGCTCACCTGGCATTCGCCAACTTGCGTCATCTCTGGCGCCGACTGGTGGGATCTCTAACTATCAGTTAAAGGACAGTTATACTGCACTTCAGTTCGTTCAGTCCTGTTATACAGCTGTGAAACATGGCCATTAAAAGTAGAAGATATGAAGTGGTTGCAAGCTTTCAACGATGGGTGTCTTCGTAGCATTGCTAGCGTGTGGTGGAATCACCATGTGAGTAATGTAGGAGTTCGAAGAAGGAGAAGTCAGTCAAGTCAGCTGATCAGGTTGTGAATTCCCAGCTACGAAGGTGTCCTAGACATGTGTTGCGCATGCCGAGTCACCGCTTACCTAGGTGTGCGTTGGTAAGAGAAGTTAGGTTAGGTTGGAAGTGGGTTCAAGGTGGCCCGACTAAGACGTGACATTAGTTCATGAGGTCTCTAACTGTTGATCTGAACCGCGTAAGGAAGTGTGGATTATCTGGCTGGGGTCTACGAGACCTTAGGAACTAGTGGTTGATAACTCTTGGTGAAATGGCCGAAAATCGGTCACAATGGCTCAATTATATTCACTCTTTGATGTCTTCTAATTCTTGAATGTTTTTACTAACCTTCATTTCTTATTTATTTCTCCTTCGATGCATCCTTGTTTATATTGATGTTGGTCTTTTTCCGCATCACTATGGCAGAGAATTTATTTTGTCTAAACTTACTCTTTTTCTAGGAAATGGACGAAGAAGATGCTAAACGAAAACAAGAGCAAGAAGCACTGGCTCGTGGGGATGATGATGATGAGGCGAAAGAAAACGTTCAAACGAAAGAAGCTGACGAGAATCCTGGAAAAAAGAAAGCCAAGAGGAGAAAGCTTAAACGTAGTGCATCCTTAACAATTACGGGTAAACGGAAGCGCTTGAGTGGGATTGGCTCAGGAGATGTTGCAAATGAGGTTGCTCGTCGTGTGTACGAAATAATGGAAAAACATAAGGAAAACTTTTTCGTTATACGATTGCATCCTCAAAATTCTGTCGCATCATTGCCACCAATCAAGGATCCTGATCCACTTATCAACTCAGAATTGATGGAATGCCGTGGTGCTTTCCTAGAGAAGGCTAGGGAGAAGCATTTAGAGTTTTCATCCTTAAGGCGTGCTAAGTATTCCACCTTAGTTATGTTATATGAATTACATAATGAAAATCGTCAACCTCTGATGTACACCTGCAATGTTTGCAACGCGCAATTGGAAACGCCTTGGCATTGTAAACAATGTATCGAGTATGATTTATGCCCCCGATGTTATGAAACCGAAAACCATCCTCATCCTATGGTGAAAATAGGTATAGGACTTGATGATTGCAACAAAGGGCAAGAATCAAGTAGTGATGCAGCTATTCAGGAATCGGGAAGAGATAAATTAACTCGCTGGGTAAAAGCTTTAGGCCATAGTTGCTACTGTCGTGATGCAAATTGTCGTGTTTACGCTTGTAAAACTATGAAGTACCAAGTTCAACATTTCCGTGTCCACTCAACAGATCGAAATCAGTGTTCTGTTTGCCGATTTATTTATTATTTGTGTTGTTACCATTCTAAAACATGTCATGAATTGAAATGTCTGGTACCCTTGTGTCCTAAACTAAAGGCAAAGATGAAGCAGCAACAGAAACAGCAACGCCTAAAACAGACACAAATGCTCCGTAGGCGGATGGCTACTATGCAGCGTTGTAACAACATGACTCCTAGTCATCAACCTACTCCTCCCCCATCTCAGTCCTATCAGCAGTGTTCTCAGTCATCAACATCTGACTGTATATCCTCCCCCATGTCTATACCCATGCAATCGTCTCCATTTTCGTATACTGCTGTTACTACTGCTTCCTGTAATCTTACCTCTCCACACTCAAGAAGTCAATCTTCTATTCAGTCTCCACAGCAAAGTCAGTTTTTCCATCCTCCTTGTCCATCTTTCCAAAACACTCAGCAACCCACCTATCCTCCAAAGTCATTTGTACCCAGCCCATCTATTCCCAGATCACCATCTATTTCTTCTGCGTCAACCTCTGCTTGTGTCCAAAACCTTCCTCAATCCTCGGGTGCCCATAATCACCCTGTATTTAATTCAGAATCAGACCAGTCTGTGAATACACATGTGGATGTCAACAGAACGGGTTTCAGCTTTCCGCCGCAACCGAAAAATTCTCTATCTGTAGCTCAGCCTTTGACTTCTTTTAGTAACCAACATCTAATGCAGCGTCAGCAAGTACAAGAACGTCCTCAGCTAAATCTTGCAAACAGTATGACACCTAATTATGTTGTTCCTCAACATACCCTTCAGTCACATGCATGCACTTCTGGACATCCGATTTTACACAGACCCCCAATTACATCCAATTCAATATCTATAGATGGATCATCTCCTAAATCGTTTATGCATCAGCCATGTGTTTCCTCTATGGATGTTGATTCATCATATCCTCAACAAATGATGTCAAGTCAGCGGTTTCACACAGAAAACGAACATAGTAATTACTCATTCAGCAAGCAACAAGTTAGTCAACGTCATCCTTCACAAATATATCCTCAAATTGTTGAAGGGTACAATCCTAGTACATTTTTACCTGGTAGTAACCAATCTTCATCAGTAACTGTTTCGACTCCTAACTGGAAGCAACCTGGAACTGCATCATCGAGCAGTACTATGTATCCAGCAGGATCATCTACGTGTTCTACCCAACCGAATGCATCTGTCATCCGATCTGCAGTCCCACAACCTGTAGGATCCACAACCCCACCGAATTCTGGTGTTATTGTTCCGTGTGGTGTCTCATCAGAGGATGTGCGGATCGTTCAGCAGGCATATACCACTATGAGGCAACGGGGTGCTCCGGCGTCTGAGGTAAATTCGCCGTTTATATTAACCCCTAATTTCATCATATTTTTTCTAGCACATTACGGTAGACTATTGATAACCAGTTTCTTCACCTTGAAACTGACTGTAAAATGACATATTCACTGTGTTACAGCTTACTCGTATGGGGCCCAGTGGTTGTTTTCAAGAATACACCTGTGAGGTTTTTAAACCTGAACTCTATGTTTACCGTCTTTGGTTACGTAACGATGCTCATAAATACGCTTTCCTCTAACTGCTAGATTTTAGTGGAATAAGAACTCTCATGTAGATATTGATAAAACGGTCTTGTTCTCCAAGCATCATATTAAACTGTTATGCAAATTAAGTTTGAGTTTCGGTCGCTATCGATGCTTACAAGTAAAGTACGGGGTATTGTTTTTCCTGAGTATTGAGAATTTAAATTGTCTTTATATCTACTGAAAAATGTGGAATGTGTTAGTTAAATGAAATCTAAATTTTATGAGATACCACACTGGAATGTGACAGAATAAATAACTAAACGAGCTCCTAGTGAAATAATACAGTTAGCCTAAATTAATATCAGCTTGAGATTTAGTAATAAAAAGGGTTTATAGTCACCGGTTGTTTTTTCCCTTGCGATTCACGGATTCGAATAACTACCAGTAGTTGTGTACAAAATGTGTGCTTAGGTAATCCTGCTCATCCTTAGTGAAACAGTTTCCAGCGATTATTTGAAAAATTCAGTTACATACCCAGTATCCATATAAGCTGTTCTTGAACGGTCTAGTGAATTAATGTTCAATTCGACCTAATGTGATAATCTTATTAGCACCACTTCGTTTAGTATTCAGTCTCCACTCCATCGACTTTTAAATATAAATTTTCTATTATTGCACTTACGCGATTGTGAATCCTTATCATCATTTCATATTTTATACTTTGCTTAGTAGTCTAGCAATGAACGCACTGTGTTTTAGTTTTTAAAGAAGAATTGGTGTATGAAAAGTCAATGATTTTTATAAATGTTCGTTTTAATTTGATCAACATAATTGTTGTTATTGTGAAAAGTTCAACCAATATTGATTAGCACTTATTTGTTTAGAATGCATACAATTTTCAGCATATTTATTTATTTCGTCCTCCAAAATTCTGTTAATACTAATAAACTCTTCTAAATGTTTCGCACATTTAACTCGTATGCGTTGACAGTAAGATAGACAAATCTGAATAATACTGGAGCTACTATAGCTATTTATCAGCCTAGGTTGGCACCCTCCACATCAGGGAATTCAGTCAGATGTCGACAAGAGGGAAAACGAATAAAGACAATAATAGCAACAGTTGTAAAAATCCATAAAAAACAGCAAATGTTAAACATGGAATCAGTGTATTTAATTATGCTATGAAGGGATTGGCACCATGGTGATCTACTTTGAGCCATATTACCCATAGTAGCCAACCATCGAAAAAGGTTTTTTCACTAACTACAACCAGGAAGTCTACACTTTCCTCGAGGACAATACCTCATCTGTACGAAACTTCATGCATTAACACTACTTCGATGTAGCCACCTTTAGCAGCGTCCCAACCGAATGCTACTTCAGCTAAGATTGTGAGTAGGAGTAGATCGTAGATCCCTATGCTTTACACGTCCCAACCATCTCGTTCGTTAAAAGTTCACATGCTCATCAACTTGTATCTCCTACCCAATACTCTATCCGCAACCTCCACATCCCTTGCACTGCTCCCATAGTGTTGTCGTCACATACAAATGATGCTAATGAAGTAGCTCTACTTGAGTAGTTGAGGCTTTTGCAAATCCTTCCCCTTCAATGACTGTATCTCACAGCCACATTCAAGGACAAATGGTGTGGTTAAACATTACACTTTGTTCTAAGTAGGCATTTGGGTGTCACTGCAGCATCACAAGTGGGATAAACTCGTTCGCTGGTGAAAGTTGAGTGAGCTTTTGGTGTTCCAGACGAGATTTTGTCGTTCACCTACCTACTAGGGTAGATAAAAATGCTCGAGAGGTGGGTGAACTGGTTAATGCATTCAAAGATTGAGCTTTCCATTCCCACCTGAGATGTCAATGTAGACTAGTCTGGGAAATCAATTTGTATTCAGCTACCATAAATGCATTCTAAACATTATCAAGTTATCATGTCATCATAAGTGAGCAATAATCAAATACAACTTAGCGATTACGCGCATGTTCTTACAGTAGGCAACGTACTAAGCTTATATGTGTTACTTAATGGGGTTTAAACTGTGATCCACTGGTTTGAAGTCGGAATTTAAGACCAATAAGCTATGACGTAAATATATATGTATATATAACTCGTCATAAAGTCTTGCATGATCGTGAGGAATAAGTGAAGATAACACCTGTTCGGTAAACTCAACCGCGTCCACTTTCCATAGTTTTACCCTTTCGAGTTTCCTTTAAAGCAAGGATTACCTAGAATCGCTCTATGTTTATCAAAGAAATTTGTTTCTTACTTGTTGAGTGGTATATTCAGTGATTCATAACAGTGAGATCGGGTTATTTTTGATTTCCATTCTTCATCATTTACATCTCTGAGTCTAACAATCAGCAAATACCGTCCTTGAATACTTCTAGTGGCTGTGGTGAAGCATGCACTAACGGTTATTCTCTGTTTACTTCTTTGGTCATTATTTCTCCTCAATTGAAACAGTGTGGTCAATAGAATTAGATGGTATGAACTTTCACAACTGACCTTTATTCCTAAAAGGCAAAATATCAATGATGCTACTCATTAAGAAATGCAGAAAAGAAAATTTTTTCTAAGTATCATATTAAGCTGAAGTGTGCCATTCACTAGCCATGAGTTCCACATAGTGTTGTTTGCGGTATTATGTGATGCAACTGACATGTTCCGCCTACCGAAGTATTTCATGTAAGATAGGCGAAATTTCATTTTGTAAATCTTTAGTATGCAGTTCACAAAACGAAGGAGTTTCAGACAGCACAGGAACTTATCTCGATAAGCAAGAAATCTTCCGAACACAACTAGTTTTTACAAAATTTGTGTAACTTATGCGTAGTCTTTGATACAAATTTCGGGGTTTTCGTACACAATGTCTATCGTCTTACATAATTTAGTTATTAACCTCATCGTTGCTATTCGGTTGATAGGAGTTATGGCTAGTAGCTTGCAGTGGAACCCAGGACACGCGTTTCGTCCTATTTATGACTCTTCAGCTGGATGCACTTGCCTGCCAGTGAGAGATGTTCCCACTTAGACTCGATAACCTGGTGGATAACGCCCTTTTGTTTGAAGCGGTTGGTCTCGCGTTCGAGTTTTAGTGGGAAAAACCACTCACTGCGAGGTAGATGCATGCAGCTGATGAGCCTCAAACGGGACGGAACGCGCATCCTGGATTTCACTGCTAGTCACCATCTATCATTAATATCAAAGTCGAAACGACAGGCGATATCGAGGAATCCGTCCAAAAGCTCATGTACCAATAGAGACTGATCACTTCAGCCCAGTCAACGACGGGATAAAATAAGCAACATCATATAATTTCAGTTTTATAGTAATGATGAATAATGTCTAGCAGTAGAATCTAGGACGGGTGTTTCATTGCTGTGTTTAGGAATAGATTTCTTTTTTGATTAGTCGTCGAGTTGTTCGTCCTATTGTAAGTGTAACGTCAACTATACGTAAGCTTGACTGCCGGGAAGAACAAATTGACAAAAACGTAGAGATAACATTTCGGTCACTATTCTTAACTCCACATCATATTTTTGTTTCACAATAGCAGTAAAATATCGGTCATTTCTTTTCAAAATAACCACTCATCACTTGTTTATTTTTCTTGCTAGGCTGATTTTTTTAATGGTTATTAGTGGACATTACATTTCCGCACATAGCATTTATATTTCAGTAACGTTATTGTGAGTACTTTTATTTAACCTTAAGGATCAAGGGCATTCACTTTCGTTGTATTTAGAGTTGATTCGATTTTGTGTCTATGTATGCGTTCCATAAAAACGTGCGCGATTAGTTCGATTTATATTTGTTTTTCCAAGTGGTATTTTATATCCTTTATTTTATATTGCAGTTCTCAAATTGGTTGAACTCTAATCCTCAGTATATGAGAGCATGGCAGTATATGCAGCAGTCACATTTACACAACCAACAACAGCAATCTCAAATGTCTGGAAGTTTATCTAGCACATCTAATACTCATTCCTGTTCTATGGGGACACAGCAACACAATGCTTATTCTGTTTGCCAAACGCCACAGAATCCTCAGTCTGTCACTGGGTTACGCTCCTTACCACAACCTAGGTATTCCTATCCACAAATTCAGCAACAACAAGTTATCTCAAATCCTCAGTCACAGTCCTGGTCGTCTGTGCCTGTACAACAACCTCGTTTTCGTCAAGTGATATCAGCGCCCAGTTTCAATCAGCAACCTAGTCAACAGTTTTCGATTTCCTGTCATCAACAAGTGAGCAAGTTGCCTTGTACAAGCATGCCTCCATCACAAACACCTAATTCTCCTCAGCGCTATATGAGCCAAACAAATTTGCCTCAACCTTGACCAATCAGATCCCTATCTCACCTCCTGTATCTAACATATCCCGTTGTCCGAATGCTATGATTCCACAAATGGCACCTCTCCCACGTTGTACCAACAATCCACCCGTAATGCCTTCCATGGGACTTGTTAATCCTGGTGGCATGGGTCCTACACGCTCAGTCCAACCTTCTCCTCATTACTCATCTGTAATGCTGTCACAGTTATTAGGACCAGGTCAAACGTCTAATCTTGTTAACAACCCATCTTCCTTTTCAGAATATCCTAACTTACCAAATAAACAACATCTTGTCCGCCAGGAATTCATTCCTTCAACAGTTTTCCAACAGAAGCTAAATTAATGCTAAATATTCTTGTCTACATACATATTTCAGCTTACTTTTCTTCAAATACTTATGCTGATTTAAGAAATTTTTTACTTTCGATACAGATGTGTGTATATATAATATGAATTTGATTAATGAATTATCTCTGAGTTTTGACTACTACTTGTTATTTTCTTTCATCATAAAAAGCACATGTAAATAATACTTCTAACCTTCTGGCATTTTCTTTGACACCATTCTGTACTAATTTTATTGTCTACTTCTCACTTCAGGTTTCCACTATAATGGTGAGATCATGTGATTTTTCGCCTTTTTCTGTATATTTGTACAGGCTATGATATGTGTATACGTTAGCTACCACAATTTTTACTGAGCTAGATTTTACACCCATCTACATTATCTAGCCTTCCTTAAATTAATGTATTACTAATTATGTAATTTTTTTTCTTTAATAAGAATTTTCTTTCCAATCATAAATGCACAAACAGTTCAAATAACGTTGATTTTTTTAAGTGGAGTTTTGACAACCTTACCAGTTCACAACTATCCTATTGCGACGATGTAACTTTGAGCGCAAAACTGTTTTATCGGAGGTATATTCACTTCAACCGAAATAGTGCGATCGTGGTTAAAAGTTCAGTCGTTTATACATTTCTTAAGGGGCTTGACCAGGGAAAACAAAATAGCATATTAAAAGTGTGAAGTGGACCAATCAACGTTTAGTATCTTAAACCGCGGTAAAAATAAGTAACATCGCATGGAGCGGAAAAGGACGATTTTAAAGGTCACCGCAACAACTGTTCAGATGACCAATTACGTTCCTCTATTCAATGAAAAATCACTTCCCCTAGGCGGATTATCTCAATTTTAAAGGCCACTATGGCAACTGCTAAAATAACCAATCAGGTTTCAGTATTCCGACTGGATAGGTAGTTTTTCACGAGATGCAGAAGCCTAATTGGTTGTCTCAACGGTTGCTAGCGGGGCCTTTAAAGTCACTTGCGAAAATACGATTTATATGTTGCAATGGAAATACATACTATTACAAGTTAGTTGTTTAGGGGTCAGACAACCCTAACGAAAACATGTTTCTTGCATTTGTAATTCAGATATCAAAGAGGTGGAGACTTTTACAATGTGCATAACCCAGCGTGGATCCAATATCAAGGGTAGTAAAGTTGAGCAATTTTTTCTTTGGAAAGCGTAGCAAAAATGATCAAGGAAAATGAATTAAACAATAAAGGAAGCAGTAAGAGGTGTGAAAGGGATTAAATTATTACGATTAGTAAAGTAATATTGCTACTCAACGGCCTCGCATGTACTCATATCGTAGGCTATAAACTACAATATGTGAAAGGTTTTTTGATACTACTACGATGAGCAAGTACTAGTATACGCCTGGTAACCATCGGGGTATCAGTATGCTAATATGGTGGACGCTACGTATGCTAATATGTATCAGTAGTGTATAGCTCGACATAAAAAACAACGATTGACCTGTGAAGATTCCGGAGGAAAAAGGATGCACTATTGAGTAGGAGTTTAGAGGGTGAGAGCTCTATACGTTGAGATACCGAAAGAGAAAATGTGATTTCATTGTATGGTGCAATAATTTTCGAATGATCTGCTGCTCCACTGAACTTCTGTCCGCCACTAGTTGGTCCAAGAATATTGACTACTGTCACATAAAGCAAGCTCTTCAAAATGCGCGAAAAAACCTACCTGCGAAGAGTAGGTTTGGTTTCTTTTAGCTTGTAGATACATTGACCACAGATCCATCCACCGCCAAACGCTTGAGTGTTGTCACATATATTGAGGGCCAGCAATTGTGTATCTAAATATTAGGGTTGTGGCTAACTAGTTTAAGTAGTTCCTCCCAGTCATTGGTTCGAATCTTGCTCTACCTACGGAAGTGTAGGCAGCCATATGGTCAAATCCCACTTGGTGATCAGTGTTAGTAAATGTATCATATAATTTGTACCTTCGAAATGCAAAGCCCCTTGGTACTCTCGTGACGTTAATCTGGTAGTTAAAGCCCAACTGTTCAACGTATTGGTGTTTCCATCCGTGCTGTACATTTGTGGAACTTGGCTTCTGTATTCTGAGGGTATCTGACAGTTTTACGTGATTAATCGACATTGTTTGCGAAGAATTGGTCGCATCATGTAAGTGATTCTAAAATGTAGCTGCGTGTGTTTGGGTGTGATGGAGGTTATTATTCATCCAGTGAAGTTATCCTGAAACACGATCCGGTGACGTAGGGGTATGTTGTGAATTCTGTCAGAGTAGCTTATGCCGTTGACTGTTAGCTCTGCAACTGGCTGGAATTAGTCGAGAGATGTTCAGGGTACCGAGTTAGTGTTTTAAAGGAATATTTTTCGATTAAATCCCATCTGCTTTTGATATATATTCCTATAGACTGATGCAAACTTAATTAGTCTGACCTAGCAAAATACCCAAAATCTTAGCGTTACTTTTCGTTAATATAAAAGTTTGAATCTGTCAGTTAAACCATTTTTGGTCTGGAGCTTTGTTTGAATTTATTGATTTCAAGGTAGTATTCATCACGGATTGATATCATTTGGTGAACCACTGGAAATTTCCGAGCACTGGACATTTGTTTCGTCCGATTATTGACGAAACTGTTCTTCATGATATGAGCATTACCAGTTTTCTAGTGATTTTTAAAATTTTTGTACTAGTTTCAGTGGTAGCCGAACTTCTTGGCCTTAAAAGTTCTTGTCTATTACTCAGGTGAATATTTAACCTAAATATATTGGATATCCTAGCTAATAGAGCAGTGACTAAAATCAAGATCTTATTGGTATGTGTGCTTATGTAACCATTATTGAACTGCTTTGACTATTTTGCTGAAGTTTTGGATTTCATGTGAATACAGAATTATAGTTACAATTTTATTTGTGCTACTTAATAATTCGATTCCAAAAGAATGGGAGAAGCTTACTTAGTGAAATCTAGTTTAAACACTTGATCAGTGAAGAATCGAATATAAAAACTTGTAACTCAGGGTACAAAGTCGTTAATCCATATTTTACAGTTTCAAATCCTGAAGTAACCGTTTTTTTCCTCTGTCAGTCACCATTCCTGTAAATCCTAGAAATACACATACTGCTTAATCTTGTTTAACTTTTTTGTCTACAGATGCTCATATTCATATTATTTTAAAATACTTGAAAATACCGCAATGCAATTTGTATCCAAAGTTTAGCAAATGAACTGATTTTGGAACTTAATAGAATCATTGGTTAGTCCAGCGGTAAACGTTTTAAAATATTGAATTAGCTAATCGAGGATATCTGTTATGCAACATTGTCTTATTTACTGAGTCAATTTAAAACTTCTTTCCCTAAATATTTTCATATTGAATTGTAAGTCAAAAAGTAATCTGTAGCATATAATCGGAACAATGTTCATCTATTCCATCAATCTTTTCGAAAATATTTTTACATTCTATGGCTAGTGTCTAACATAGAGCAAATCTGTATGTCAAGTTGAGAGTCCGGTATCACAATCACTCTAAAAGCCACCTTAGCCGTTGCTGAAATAGTCAACTAGGTTTCGTTATTTGATTGAAGAGGAACTACTTTTCCAAACAAAAAAGCAAAACCTAGATGGTTATAGGGATAACCTTTAGACTCAGTCTGTTGTCTAGGACTTACATTTGGTATTCAGCTTCCATTGCGATGAGTGCAAGGAAACATTTTAACGTCTAGTTGAACGCCCGCTGTAATCACCAGCGATAATACCGTTTCAAAGGTTTTAACTGAAAACGAATCCGTACTTATGGAGCTTCTCAGCCTTTGAAAGACACCTTGAAGGACTGAGGTGAGTTGTAGGAGATTTTCAAGGTAACCGAACAATTTACATAAGGTTTGTGTATTGAAAGATTAACAGATGCCAACCCCTAAATAGTGTACAGATTAGAAGATTAGTTCCGTGTCTTCAGTATGTATTTTGTGGATTATTCTTAAAACGCTTTCGGGTTTGAAGAGTGTATGATTCGGTGGTTGCTGACTCAGAGTTTTTCCTAAAACTCTCTGATTTATGACCATACCTCGTGAATCAAGAGATTTGTGGTTGTTGAGTTGAACAGCATGAGGCCATCGCTAATATCTGTTATGACTGCGTTTAATATGGTTAATTTCGTCTACGCGCATTATGGTAAATGGCCTAATAGTCAAGATGTACCCTTGACTCTTCTTTCAGTGTAGTTTTACAATTACAAAATTTCTTGACTTATCCTAAGCCAGAAGGCTAGTTTTTTTCGAAAGTAATTTCATAAGACAAATAATCTTGGTTTTCAAAGCCAATCTAAGCAATGATTATCAGTCTGTGCTCAACTAATCATGTTTCAGTAAATTATAGTTATAGTTCAGTAAGTGTGTTCCCTCGCTCGATAAACAGATTTTCTTTTCAATCAAGAAACTAGGAAGTCATATTTTCTTCTCCATATTTTTACATTATACAAAAAAGGGGGAAAAACGTCGCTGTGCAACAAAAGGCAACGTGAAAATAAAGCACCACATTAAAGTTTGCTGGTGACACGGAAAATCCATTCAACATAAATAATCCTTTTCCACACATGCTTGTTTTTTGAATTTTGTCTTAAACTTGTAATAATGTTGCATCTGTGACGTTCAAATTGGAATATCATTCGTCTTTTTCGTTTGAATATTCGGAATTACATTTATTCACGTTTTTATTTCTATTTTAGGTATCGTCGATACGAGGTACAACTTTAAAACACTGAATTTCAAACTTTATTCAATTAAATTTGTATTGTGAAATCCATTTTCACTATATCTGATATATTGAGATTCAATAATTTTATTCAAATAAATGGCTTGACGGTGACCAATACTGAAATCCAAGATTTTCGTTTCATCCTACTTCAAACTCTTCGAGTGGACGTGCGCACATCTCACTGATAGATGGTAATACCAATGGGACTTGAAGCAAGCAACTATTACTTAAAATAACAGACCTCATCTGCTGATCTATTGAGTGACAGATGGTACCCCTTATTCACCGTGTGTTATTTGTAACTTCCAGCTATTCACTTAATTGGACTGAGCTGGGCAACATTCAACTTCATACGAGCATTCTGCTACAGTTACTTCAATATTACTGGGGACAATGGCTTGTGTGAACCAGTGGTCTGGTGGATAAATTTCTAGTATTTGGAGCTATGTTCATGTCTGGTCTTAACAACTTAGTGAATTATGGGCGTATACCACTGATGAGCCTTAAATGAGGTGAGATGATCATCCTGGATTCCGCTGCTTATCCGTCAACAAAAAATCCAATGAAAACTGAAACTTGGTATGAAAGTGAAGTAACTGTTCAAGGTGATACATGTATCAGCAGAGGTTAGTTATTTCATTCGATCCAAGTAGACGATGAGAAATTGTAAAATCTAAATAATTTAACTCAACTTCATTTAATAAACATCCTGCAGTCATTGCAGTTTAGCACGATATTATATGCTG